AAAAAAAAAACCCTTAGTTGGGCACAAATTAAAATGCTCAAGCTTTTCCCTACCTGATCATTGACTAATAAAAATTCCCTGCTAATTTTCCATCTCTTGGAGTGCAGGAAAATGACTGGATGCCAAGGATGGAAAGCCACATGTGTGCATGTCTCCCTGTCCCAGTCAGGCCTGTTGTAGGTGAAATGGTCCATATCATCCCTTAGCTCAGGTGACAGCCCTACCAGTTGTGTTTGGGCTGGAATCTCTTCTCCTGCTGTGGTTAAATCCATGTGTTCTCCTCCAAGGAGAGGGAACTAAGTCTTGCACTGTAGATATCCTCAAGCATGTGGAAGGGTTGATCTCCAGCTCTGCCCTGATCACTGGAGGTGCAGGAACACTTCAGTGCTGTGTTGGGGCTCCAAATAATTGGCATTTTCCCTCCTGCTCACTCCTAGGTCACCTAGATGCCCTGCTGAGGGGACTGGTCTTGGGCAAACTGGGCAAAGCTGGGCACAAGGCCACGCTAGAAGAGGCTCGACGCAGATTTAAGGACCACGTGGAAGGAAAACACATCCTGTCAGCTGATCTGAGGAGTCCTGTAGGTTATTGCTCATTTTGCTTTCCCCCCAAGACTCTCCTCACTCCCTTATGTTATTCCCAAGGGTAGGGAGCTAGAGGAAAGCAGTGGGCAAGGTGTGAGAGTAGATGGTGGGAGCTGGATCAGTCTAGTAAGGAAGGCAATGATCCCATGGAGTGTGGTATAAGATCCTTGTGGTTCTCATTCTGGTGTGTTGCTGTGGTTGGAGTGGCTCAAAATGACTCTGGAATTGAGGAGGAGATAAAGGAGTTGAAGCATCTCTACACTCCAGTCTCAAACCACAGAAGGGATCAGTGCTGGCACTTTCCACACATGTTCACCTGTCTGAAATCTAACCCAGATCTGTCCCCACTGTTACATCTCTCTTGAGTGTGATTTTTTGCAGCTGTTCTTTGTTTCTGCTCTGCCTTAGGTCTATGTCACAGTGTTGAAGCATGGAGACAGCTCTACTTTAGACACAATGCTCAAGGTGGGTGCAAACTGCTGAGGGAAATGACTTCTTTCCCCCTCAAATCTCCTCTGGGATGAGGTTTAGGCACACACAGATGTTTCCAGATGGGTCCAGGGAAGAGCAACGAGGCTGGTGAAGGGACTGGAGCACAAGTGCCATGAGGAGAGGCTGAGGGAGCTGGGGGTGTTCAGCCTGGAGAAGAGGAGGCTCAGGGGAGACCTCATCACCCTCTGCAACTCCCTGACAGGAGGTTGGAGTCAGGTGGGGGTTGGTCTCTTCTCCCAGGCAACCAGCAGCAGGACAAGAGGGCACAGACTCAAGCTCTGCCAGGGGAGGGTTAGGTTGGATCTTAGGAAGAGATTTTTTCTGGAGAGAGTGCTCAGACATTGGAATGTGCTGCCCAAGGAGGTGGTGGATTCACCATCTCTGGAGGTTTTCAAGCTGAGACTGGATGTGGCACTCAGTGCCATGGGCTAGTGACCACAGTAGGGTTGGACTCGATGATCTTTGAGGTCTCTTCCAACCTGGTTGATTCTATGATTCTGTGATTCCCACTGCTCTCCTGGGCCAGGTGTGGTGGGAAATTGCCACCTAGTGGAGTGTTCCAGCTCTCCTTTTGGGCTCCTTTCTCCTTGCTGGAGGCATGGACCTACTTGACCTTCTGTAAAGAGTATTGAAAACCACAGTAGGGTTGGACTCGATGATCTTTGAGGTCTCTTCCAACCTGGTTGATTCTATGATTCTGTGATTCCCACTGCTCTCCTGGGCCAGGTGTGGTGGGAAATTGCCACCTAGTGGAGTGTTCCAGCTCTCCTTTTGGGCTCCTTTCTCCTTGCTGGAGGCATGGACCTACTTGACCTTCTGTAAAGAGTATTGAAAATGAGTTTATTACCAATTCCTGCTTTGCTGATGGATGTGTGATGAGTCCAGAGTGGGATAACTGCAGGGCGAGTCAGCACCAAGGTCAATTTGTCACTTAGTGGGCTTGAAGACTAATTAACAGCTCGAACATGCACAGCAAGTGCTGGGTGAGGAGTCAGCCTTTATCCTTCCCTGTCTGAGTGCCATTCCCTCTGGATTTGCAGCTGCACAAGCAGGCAGACATGCAGGAGGAGAAGAACCGGATTGAACGTGTGCTTGGAGCCATCTCTCAGCCAGAACTCATTCAGAAAGTTCTCACCTTTGCACTTTCAGTAAGTTTCTTGGCAAACTTGGCTTCTTTTAGGCCATTCCTTCAGGATATTCTATGATCCTAACCTTGTGGGGAATGAGGAGTGTGTTAGGGGTGGAGAACTTTGAGCACACAATGTGCTAGAGCAGGAGAAATGTATCTTAATGGTTGAATCTTTGAGTTGGATCTTCAGATCTGTGGAGGGGAAAAAAAACCAACCCTGTTGTTGACAGATTTGATATGGAGAAATGTATAAAACCAATTCAGCAGGGAAATGCCTAATGCCCCAAAGTGTTGGATTTGCTGGAATATTCCCCTCTGTTTTCCCACTCAGGAAGAGGTACGTCCCCAGGACACGGTCTCAGTGATTGGAGGAGTGGCTGGAGGCAGCAAGCAGGGCAGGAAAGCTGCTTGGAAATTTGTAAGGGACAATTGGGAGGAGCTTTATAATCGATACCAAGGTGGATTCTTAATATCCAGACTAATAAAGGTACGTGGAGCTGTGAGGAAAGCCCTGACAGGGCTAAGCTGTTCCTTTGGGAATGCTGAATGCTCACCTTGCTCCATGTTTTTTGTTTTTTTTTTCCCCTTCAGCTAACAGTGGATGGATTTGCAAATGATAAAATGGCTGCAGAAGTGAAGGTAAGAAGCTTTAATTAAGGAAGTGATTAACTTCTCTATGTGCTGTGACTGTAAGCACTGAGGGAAGAGCCAGGAGTGGCTTTTGATGTTGAATTGTGGCTCTGCCTCATCCTGTCCCCAAATTTCACTGCTTTGGGTTGGATAAAATGTTATTGAAACACCTTAAATTAATTTTTGAAGTCGTAGGTGCAACTTCTAGTGATTTCTAGTTCATTTTTTTTACACTTCGATGCAATCCAGCACAGTTTGGCAGCAGTTTGGAGCCTCCCCAAAGCCTTTAAAGCTTCATAGTTAGTACAAGTTCCATGGTGAGCTGAAGCTCTCACACCCCACAGTGTCCTCCTGCTTTGGGGT